TGAACCCGTGGGGGATGGCCCACTATGTAGGCGGGAGTTGCCGCCGCGATCTGTTTCGGGCCGGTGTGTCACTGCGGCACCTCCACCACTGAGCCACTGCGCCCCTTATTTTGCACCACGGTTCCGGGTTTTGCGGCCATCTCAGCACAACTATGGACATTATAATACCATTGAAAAAATGCAATTAAATAAAAAATTACGAATATGTCTAAGGTTTCGGGTTATCCCGCAGTTATCAGCTTAACTGGATGTAATGCCAATATCGGCTCGCCAGATCGTACCCGTTAGCGGGCGAGTGCTGATAATGGTACCCACTTACTATTTCACTAGAACACCTCATTATTCGGGTAAGCAATCTTATGATGAAACACTGAAAGAGGAACAGAGCTTGTTGCTAAGTAGCAAAAAGATGAAAAGAGGACATCGATTAGTGACATGTTAAGAAAACTAATAGTCGCTAACTTAACAGACGTCAAGGCCACTTTCTTGACTCCCGGTCGTCCTCATAGGTCATCATTTGTAAGCTACTTCATTTCTTAATATGTTGTAGTAAGTTACAACAATGTTTGCTAATAGACGGCAGACTTGGGTTCTAAAACACGACGCATATCTGATTTATTCGTAATTTTTTATTTAATTGCATTTTTGCAATGGTATTATAATGTCCATAGTTGTGCTGAGATGGCCGCAAAACTCGGAAGCTCAGGCGGGACTCGTACCCGCACTTACAGATATCCGGTCTGCCGTGCTTTCCATTACACCGCCGAGTCCCTTGCTATGCGACCACTCGAGTACGAGTCCCGCCTGAGGTTCCGAGTTTTGCGGCCATCTCAGCACAACTATGGGCATATCAACTGGATTGACACAGAAATTTGCTTCGCTGAACTCAGTCGAATCACAGCGATCTTCTCTCCACATAATCGTAAAAGTTTTCTGATTCAGTCAAATGTAAAATATACTACATAATATTGTATTTTATTTCTTATTTATTCTGCATACTGTTGTGATGATACATCCGGTTTGTTTAATTTTGAGCCAATCTCAATAGGATACCCTGAAAAATGGCTCATATCTTATTCAAACAACTACCGAATAACATTAGACATCTATATGTGAATTTTTAAAAGCGATATTGTTTTTAGTTCTTAGTGGTATATTCTATTAATCAATAAGTGTATATTTTACTCAAATTTACCTCTTATCACTCCTAAATCTATTTTCGTACTGTTATACTTTTATGTTGCAATTCAACTGGTGTATGACGCTGTGGAACAATAAATTGATAACAATGAATAACCTTTGTAACAATACTTTATGCAGTACTAATAACAAGAAACCATATTGTTTGGCTCGAATCAGTACAGAATTTCAGGACTGTTTGCATCTGGGAAACACGTTCTTGAGTGCTGACCAGTCCAACCAACGCTCCTATCCTCTGAATTCGCACTAGAGCAATCTGAAATAGTAATGAGCACTTACTCGCTACCAGAATAGTTCTTTCAAATCATTGTATAGACCTCCAGAAGGGCATAAACCATGCCAATACTTATTTTTACCATCATCTTTAGCCCTTTTTATCCTTTATATACCACTTAATAAGGGTCAATTCAAATCTAGTAAGAAAGGGAACAAATGACGCTAAAATCCAATTCCTTCGAAAATTTGCTTTATCATGCTTCTTATGTTAATTTTTATTTGGTAGCACTATTGAATTCATTTTGAAGTCGTGAATGATTAACCAAAGAAACCACGTTGATTAGCGACACGTTGAGTAAACAACAACACATACAAAAATAGCGCTTTGATGATGATTCATCTCTGTGGGATGCCAGACGTATTGAACTTCATCGAAAATTGCGGAGATAATCAAAAAACCCCGTGTGAAAAATGATGAACTCTGCTCGTTGGAATAAAAATAGAATCAATTGAAAGGATCAACTGATACCGCTATAGCGAAAAACTAGATCAAATCAGTATCATATACTAGTTTTAACCTTACCTCTTTCACCCTCATGAACTCGTATATAACGTCGTACCACTTCTAAGCAATCCTTCCGACATACTCTGCTCTAGAACCCATGCCATATAAAATCATCCTTTTTTTGGCCTAGCTTTTATAATTGCGTACGAGCGCACAGCTCTATAGGTATATAAGGGGACCTTGTCTGGAAGAGAATCAAATTCATCCAATGACTCCGCTGTTGGTCTCGTATCTTTTGCGTTTTGTTTAGTATCGTAGTGCTTAGTTTATTATTTTGCTTACATAAATATAATAATGTTTACATATTGTTTATTGTTGTTGTATTCCACTACTGTTACAAAATATTTATGCATACATGAACATATTGTTGTGATTTCAGAAAAAGCTTCAATTATTCAAATTTTCGACTAAGCTAACTACGACGTATTCTGCGGAGCAAGAGTCAATCAGGTAGCTGTTGTAAAAGAACTGTTGAATCTATTCTTATCAGTTTTTTCGCTTGATAAAATCACATTGAAAGTATCGAAATTGGACTGACATGATTTAAGCTCAATGTTCTAGCGTTTCTAAGTACTTCGTCAGAACAAAACAAGTACAGTTTCAATACTTAGTGGCGAGGTTTTCTGATTCGTTCTCCATTTTCTTGATATATACACAGCAGTTAGAAAAGTAAAACGTCTTGGTTAAGCTTACTGGCTTTTAGGTATGTTGTTTCAACTTCTGCTATGTATAGTCGCCTTCTTCATAATTAGCGTCTATGGACAGCTTTCATCTAAGCAACGTAAGGCAAACTAAGAATTGTGACGACCATTATGTTATAAATGTATCATATTAAGCAGTTAGTCCTGTGAGTGACGAATCGAGAGTAGTGACAAGGCCCTCAAGAATTTGTATATAAAATTGATGTCTGTTATATAAAAATTGTCACATGATATATAAAAATATTCTTTAAAATGTTTGAATAACCACACCCTCATTAACTAATGGAAGCAGATAATTTTAAGCAGGTGCAACGATTGGCTTTAATGTCACTGGTTTTGAACTACCAGCACAAATGGTTTATACTGATGATCAAAATGTGTCCATGCAAGTACCTAACATTTCAAAGAGCATGGATGAAGCAAAGACGTTTGTCGACAATCTAGTAATGCAATCAGTGAGTTACTTGTTTTCAAAACTTTCGAGATGAATGGTTCAACTCAAAGAATTTACATAACAGCCTGATCTCAAGTAAGTTCCACTAATTTTGCAAAGATGAGTTCACTAGCAAACTTAAAACAATAGAATTAATTCAACACTGCATCTATCAGGAATTCGTAATTAACTCTGACGCATAAGTTATTGAAATAAGTTCATTATAACCTAGCGCAGGTATTAGAAAATAAAAAAAAACTATTTCCTATAAAATAAGGTTTCGCGTTGATCAATCTTTGCTGCGGGGTGTGCATATGCATTCGTCTTGAAGGTCATATCATGGAGGTGTTGAAAGCGACCCACAACTACACATTGGCTTAAGTTGACCACACTTCACCAAGTAGTGCTGTTTATCTTACCCGAATTTTTTGGGTTCCAGCTTACAAAACCTGGAGATATGGCGGTGTGTTAGGCTTCGGATGGAGGAGGTAGCACGCAAGTTGACTCCGGCCTGCGTGTTACCTCCACCACTGCACTACTGCGCCACTAACCCTTCCATTTATTTTATTACATACATTTAGAAACCTATTTTCTATGAAATTTGGCATTATGGAATATAACATTGC